AACATAAAAATTAAAAAAAAAAAATTTTACCCTTTTTGGCATTTTTTTCAACCCTCTCTAGCACCCAAACTACAAAAGTTATCGATCTATTTTTTCAATGAGCTGGCCTATGGTTTATGAACATGCAGTTCAACCCTATACTTATTCTCTAGGGCTTTTTTCTAGGAGGGGAGGGAGGGCTTGGGACGCCCCCCAGTCTATACATAGGTTCAGCCTAGCCTTTATAGGGTTAACTTTGCTTTGCTATTTTTAAATTGGGTTTTTAAATTTTTTGCTTCTTCCTTGTAAATACTTAGTTTTAAGAATGCTTGAGAACACAAGCTTACATAACAAAAAACGGAACTACAAGTAACATTGAAGGCCTGCAATCATCTTTTAACGCTGTATTAACCTGGAAAATGGAGGTTGTTTTACTTAGCTGGATCCAGATTTTGCTACTGACAGCTTTAAATATACTTCTTAATAACAAGCCTGGTGAGCTATTCTTTTGATTCAATCTGGTTCTATGTATAAGCATCAAGATGTCAGTTCCATTTACAAGTATCTGTCTGAGATGAACTTACAAGAATCAAGAATTCTTTTGTCGAAAATATCCACTCCTTGCCTAACCTTTCTTATTCCATTTGTCATTATCAATACGGAATTCCGACACTGGATCCTCAGAATTAGAATACGGAATTCCGACACTGGATCCTCAGAATTATCAATACGGAATTCCGACACTGGATCCTCAGAATTAGAATACGGAATTCCGACACTGGATCCTCAGAATTACCAAACCCGCAACTTTTATTTTTCCAACCTGTAAGAATATATATAATAAATATGAACAATAGCTGGATCAAAAAGCTGCATCATTAATCTGCAATATAACTTGTCATTTGCAAAATTGCAAAAACAGAAAGCTGCAGCTCTGGGCAATATGCGCAATATTAGTGAGAAAGAAATATGTGTCACAATGCATTTTTCCCTTGTCTATAAGAGATTAGAATGCGTAGATTAGGAGAGAGAAAAAGAAACATGGATCTACGATCAGATAAAAAGAAGATACAACAACCAGAGCAAAAATGAATTGCTCTTTTTAAAATTTTGTTAAATAAAAAAAACTAAAATTTAAAAATAAATGTTAAAATCATAGGTTCGTTTTCTAACAGATTATGACGATTTAAACGTTTTTGAAGTTAGGGTTTCATCATAACTTTTAGTTTTTTGCTTTGAAACCGGTTTCCGTATGGCAATTATGATTTGCAAAAAAATTGTCAATCTAAATGTTGCAATTGTATGTCTAAGTCCTTTCTTATTTTAAGTAAGCATAGTGCCATCTTAAAAATCGACCCCCTTTAGTAGATATTCAATGCCCGATCAATAAAATAGCGCAGTTATAGGAACCCTCGAATTCACAGATGTAAATTTCCGATTTACAATAGAACCTTAGAAACCTTTATCTGATCAATAATGTGGAAGATATGTTCGTTTTAATTAATTTTAAAAGTTCAATTCTTATTTCTACTTGATGGGACAAAGCTTTAAAGGGTACCACTGTGAATGGGACATTGCTATCTTTGCATTGAGAGACGAGGGTTACACCTACAGTCTTTCTAAGGCCAACATTGTCAAATTTCTGTGACTAATCTTCACTTTTTTTAAAGATTGAATTCTTTGAGTGGAATGATTGAGTATGAAAAACTAAGATCAGAATACGACCCTGACTGGCCTTGCGAGCAAAAAGAAACTATTCCAGAAGAGGTATTTATTTAGACAGTTATAAGTAAATATATATATATAGGTTTTAACCGTCTATGCCCGAACTTCATAATTTTCAAAATATTTTTTCCAAATTTTCAATTTTATTTAGAAATGTTCCCTGAGGAACAGAAATATTTTATTTTGAAAACTGATTATTTTCAATTGAGCATTTCTACTATAGATAAGCATGAAGAAATTATCAGAGTGCAAATTGGTTACTACCTCTTAGAACTGCAATAAAGGTTTAAATTGCACCCTGCGACCGACGGGTTTCCCAACGCTCTAGCACCCTCGTACGTGAAGCGATCCGACTGGAAAAGCAGAGAGCCTGCCTAATACGTGCATTTTCACAATTGTATTCAATTTTGGTGCAGAACCGAGAACTTGGAAAATTCTAACATTTTTTGCAACCCGAGACTGGCACACTTGAACCCGAACCTGTGTAATTGCCCGTTACTGTATTCATTGCCCAGCCTAGAGTTGTCAATGGATCAGGCTAAAACTTGGAGGGTACCGTTGTGATGCGGGACATTTCTTGCATGAATGATCACATTTAAATCCCTTAAATCCAAAATTTAATATTTCTTTTTGCAGAAGATAGCTGACATCTATGAAAGTATTCTGAAAACAGTAAATCCAAAAACTGAACTAGATAAAGAATACCAATTCAGGAAAATGAAGAAAAAACTTAATCATTTAAAACCAATTTTTTGGTCCATTTCACTTTAATTTTCAAATCTGGCACCTTTAAATTTGTTTATTTTTAAGGACATTTGAAAAGATGTTTTTCTACTTTTTAATTAATTTTGTTATTGTTGTTGCAATTTTGGTCTGTGGTAAGAGGACCTCGAAAATTATTTAAAAAAAAAATAAAAAGCAGAACAGATTCAGAATTGAATACTCTTGTAGATTTTTTAATTATTAAAGGGACTGTTAGTGTAATTTCAAGTGAACCTTCATTCATAGAGGACAACGGTACAATTTAATCCTTTATCTGATTAATCATGTGTAAAACTAAGATATTGTTGATTTGTAAAGAATTGAAAATAAATAGTTTTCAAAATTATAAACATTCATATTTAATTCATACAAAGCTTTTAAGGTTACAATTGTGAATCGGACATTGCTATCTTTCCCTAAAGGGTCACTTGAAATTGAGTTAACAGTCCCTTTAAGAACAGACTTTTGAGTTTAAGGTTCTTTATCTGATTTTTTTTTAACATTTGCTAGAGCTATGAGATCTAAGCTTAAAGCTTCTCTTATACTTCATCCTTATGATTTAAGAGGAAGCCGAAGGTAAATAGTAAAATTGCAAAAAGTTGTTTTTAAATTCAAATCCAATTTCAACGCAAGTTAATTTTACTTGCGTGTAATTCCGCGTACGAGGGGGGGAGGGCTCCGGGTGCACGTGCTCCTCCCTAGGATGCCCCCCTGAGGGGGGGGGCACGCATAGGGAGCATCATATATTCAATGATTTTATATGATGCAGGGGAAAAATGAATAATGTGATATTAAAAGGCAACTTAATTCATCCCTTTCTTAAATATTTTTTAAACAAAAGTTCATCAAGCAAAACCCTGAAAACTTGTATGGCGCTTCATTCCTAACATTCATTCTTTTAACCCAAAATTCAGCAGTTAAAACCCTAAACATTGTTTTAATTTTTAGCGCAAACAAACCTGCAGGAAAGAATTTTTTTTGATGAACTGGGGAAAAGAACTTTTTATCAAAAGGCATTTTTTTATTCTTTTAATTAGAATTTGTACCTAAATATTCAGCTAATAAAACTCTACACATTGTTTACTGCTCGGCTGAAACATATTAAATTTGTGGGGGGTGGGGGGGGGGGATTATTTTTTAAAGGAGTAAAGATTTTTCAAGAAAGGAATAAGTTTTTGCCACAAACTCAAATTTTCTAATCCCTATTTCTTTAAAACCTGAGGGTGTAAATATTTCTCCAAACTTAGGCTTTTTCAAAATTCATAGAATTCATAGTTTAAAAATATCAAAGATCTACGACACTGGTTTGCACAGATATAAAGATTATAATTTCATTTGCTCCTCTGATCTATAATCAACAAATATACATTCTAAACCAAGCTCCAAGTATGAAAGGTTCTTCAATATAGATAAAAACTAATCAGTACTTTTGTCAAAATAGGGGTTTTTAGGGGGGGGGGCACAAAATCTTCTTAGGAGTGCATACACAACAAAATAAGGTGCCCCCTCTACACTAAAGCTCTCGTGCGCCCCTGTTCACCTTGCTTTGTATCAGACGTCTGGATAGTTTAAAGCGAAAGGATCTTAGAAAATTACCAACAATTTAAAAATGTAATTTTTGAAATATAAAAAAAATGTGAATACTAGATTTAAAAAAAGGCTCTGTAATGGGATACAACTTGACGCAGAACTTGTAAACTTAGATAACCGACATTGTGTTTTTTTTTCTAGATGCAAAATTGCAGAAACAATTCTGAACTCTGTAAAGAACAACATGATAAACAAAACAGATTTAGAGAAGCGGAAGAGGGGATGTATCCCGGCTGTTAGCAGAAAAATGAGGTTCAACAAATATTAAAGTTCTGAAATAAATCATAAGATATTCAAGTTTATTGCAATTATATAGCTTCAATAACCAATCACAACATTTCTAATAGAGATAAATAGAGTTTAGGTCCCCCTCACCATCCGCCCCATTTACTAGCTAGAACCCCTTCCCCTTGGTGTCTGATCATAGTGCTACCTGAGTCCGAATTTAATGAATTGAAGCCGCGTCTCAAATCTGCATAAACCGATTTCAATTGAGTGCCGGCTTAAATCTTTAAACATTGAATACAATTTTATATGGAACCAACAATATTTGAACCGCGTCTCAAATGTAAGCCGCTGCTCAAATTCTTTAAATTTGGTCTCTAAGCATTTAAATTAATATTCCGCACATAGAATAGAAAGCTGAGAGAAAACAGGATTCTGCTTGCAATACAGATACAAATAGATACTAGCGCCTGTAGTGTGAGAAATGTTTTAAAAATTTACATCTACCTGATTTCACTTGTCCTGTCTTAAGTTTTGGGTTCAGAAAACAAAGTGTCATGGGCCTCTCTATGGCGCTTTTAAGAGAGGAGCCCCTCAAGTATAGAGGCCAATCTGAAGTAAACCTATATCGTATTTTTATAAATTTATAACTTTTTTAATTTTCTAGACATCCGTTTTGGCTGTACACAAAAGTTCTTCTATATGTGTTTATTGTGAGCATTGGATTGTGGTTTTATGACGTATATACAGGTCAGAAAGTAAAAAATTAACAAATTTAAGGGACTGTACGCGTAATTTAAAGTGAGTCCTCCGAGCAAGGTTGTCAATTCCCGATTCTTAGCGGCACCCTTAAAATATTCATCTGATCAAGTATGAATCAGATATCAATGTTTATAATTTAGAAAACTGACTATTTTCAATTGCGGTTTCTATACTAAAATTTCTTGCGCATATGGCAGGAAAACATGTAGGATCAATTATAAGATATAAACATGTTTAAAAAGACAATATCGTCCACATTAATGAGCAGATAATGGTTTCAACGGTACAGAAACTTTTCTGTAGAATAATTAGGATAAGCCCGACAACCTTGATCATTCAAGGGTTTTAAGGGTACTTTGAGAATCGGACACACCACTCTCTACAAACCGAGGGTCCCTTAAAATTACGCATACAGTCCCTTTAAGTAGATGCCTGGGTGTTGAAGATCTGGTTGGAGCTGATGTGTCAACTAGATGTTAACGCTCGGTTCTGTCCTCGTTTTATCAGGTCATACTATATTATTCTACATTTACTTTAATAATCAACTGAAATACTTTAAACACAAAAATTTGAAAGATCTTTTAGAATTTTATTTTAAACTAGCTCTCTTCTAGCAATAATTTAAGTGTTTCCATGTTGCTTTTCAAGTGGTCATTTTGCGGATTTTTCTGTAAACTTTAATGGATTTTTTAAAATCTAAAGAAATTGGAAAACTTTTCCAATTAAATTTTGTCAATTTTTACCATCCATAAACCTTTCCTAGGCTCGTGTAAAGGACACAACAAGTCTGATGGTTTTACCATCCATAAATCTTTCCTAGGCTCGTGTAAAGGACACAACAAGTCTGATGGTTTTACCATCCATAAACCTTTCCTAGGCTCGTGTAAAGGATACAACAAGTCTGATGGTTTTACCATCCATAAATCTTTCCTAGGCTCGTGTAAAGGACACAACAAGTCTGATGGTTTTACCATCCATAAATCTTTCCTAGGCTCGTGTAAAGGGCACAACAAGTCTGATGCTTTTGAATGATTATTTTTGTAAAAATACTGTTTATTTTCAATTTCGTTCAGCAGAAATTAAGGAATTGAAAAATGTAGATATTTGTAAATAAAACCACCGAAAAAGTTCTCTAAAAAAAATTTCGGAAATTCCCAAGAATCTAAAACTCAGGACTTCATTCCAGTGACATTTTGTCCTAGAACTTCATAAAATTGGGACTGTTTTACCAAGGTTTTTTATTTCCACGTTTCTTTCCAAAACCTTTTTTATATGTGACTTTCTTTCATATATTTTACAGGAGATGGTTATTCAACGACACAAACTATGCTATGGGTCAATTACAAAATAGCCCTACAGAATCCTACCAACATGAAAGGAAACCATGATAACATGATAACTCAATCAATCAATTAAGAAAATCAATTATTCAACAAATAATAAATTTAAAGAAATTTTCTCAAAAACGTATTTTATGAAGATTTACTTTGTGAAAAGTTCATTAAAGTTTTTTTTTACGAAGATTCAGATACAATTTGTGATTAGTTATTAACCTTAAAACATTTATAATAAATATGTTTTTCTTAAGAATTGTTTATAAATTCTGTGAAATACTATCCCTGTATCTTTGCAACCTAATGGTGTAAACCATTAATATTTCAAAGTTAGATTATTTGATCCAACAGGATTCATAGTTTTAAATATCAAGTGTTGCAAAAATACAGGGAAAAAGACTAAATTCGATCCTTTACGTAATTTTTGGATATTTTAAGTTTTTTATAATTGATGGTTAATCAGCCATGAGAATATGACTATAGACGAGAAGAAAGCAGATTATCTTGTTTCCATCCTTGGTAATCTATATCTATAATATATATACTTTGCTTGTTTGGGTGTCTTTTTGTTTGTATCAAATAAACGTCATAACAGCTGAACCAATTGTGTCCAAACTTTGTGTGGGACCTTACATGACCCCAGGGAAGACTTATGGATGCTCATAATTTCAAAATTTGTCTCTAAAGATTTTGGATTTCTGTAAAATTTTAAATATCCACAAAAGAATATTAAGAAATCTGCGAACATTTTTGTCTTATATTGTTAAAAGTGAAGATGCTTGCAGATAGAGCAATAACAACAAGTTCAAATATATGATGTTAAAAGCCTAGTAATATAATATTTTATATATGATATTAAAAGCCTAGTAATATAATATTTTCCTCATTTCAAAAAACCTTTGTCAAGTCACAAAAGATATACTTTGCAAAATGTTTCCTATCGCTAAATTTTTAAGAATTGTTGGTTTTATTATCAAGGAAATCTTGTGCTTATGTTCTAATTTCAATCAAGCTTTTACAATAATGTTGCTCTTTTCCTTACTTCTTCTTGGTATTTCAAATTGTTAAAATAAATTGAATTTTTAATATTGAGTTCAAAGACTTTAATAATTTAGTTAATACCGCGGATTGGGTTGTTGAATTTGGAAAATTTAATATTTTGTCTCCTTTTTCTTTTTAACAGAAAATTAAAATGATCACAATTTTTTTATTTTTAACAGATTTGCAGTTCAGATTTAATGTTTTATTATAAATTTTTTTTATCCGATATCTAACTGATTTTTATTGAACAGGACTACATAATATCAACTACATAACCTTCTTCACAGTTTCTCTAATTATTTCAATTATTAGGTAAAAGCATATTTTTTTTAGATTTTGTTTGTTAATAAGAATTATCATCATTATTATTTTATAATCAGAATTATTATTCTTACTATCATCATTATTACTATCATCATTATTATTATTAATATTACCATGAAATTTGTTCTAGGTTCCGAACTAATTGTTCCTGATTTCTAACATCTTGTTCTAGGTTCCAACTAGTTGTTTCTAATTTCTAACACCTTGTTCTAGGTTCCGAACTAATTGTATCTAATTTCTAATATATTGTTCTAAGTTCCGAACTAATTGTTTCTAATTTCTAACATCTTGTTCTAGGTTCCGAATGACCCTAGATGAGGCTGGATTTGAAAGTATTCTAATCGTCTCTCTTGGGTTGGGAAATTATTTTAACCTTAAGGGACAACAATAATTTCTCTACTGCACATATCTTTTTAAAGATTTTTCTGTGTTTTTTTTACTAAAATTTGAAAATTTTCTAGAGAAATAAGATGACAAAATTTATCAACCTCAGCATAGACAGAGGATTTTGGAAAACACAATATGTTAAAACTAATTACCTAACTTAATGTTTTGGGAAAATTAAGTCATCAACAGAAATGAGATGATTCTTGGCCACAAACAACTAAATTTTCTCGTTCCTATATCTTTGCAACCTGATGATGCAAACCTTTGACATTTCAAACACTGGGTTGCAAAGACATTGGGATTGGAATGAGAATTTACGGCAAAGCTCCTTACTTTGTACTTAAAAAATTCTCTAAGTAAAACTAACGTTTTCCTGGATAAAAATATTATTTAAGTCAAAAAATAAAAATTGTCTTTAAAGTACATGCTGGATCAGATTGCAGATGCACACGAAGATCCACACATGGAGGATTGCTTTACTGTCAAATTTACGAGTTTTATTAACGCAACATTATTTTTCTTCAACATTTTTTAGCTCCAATTAATATTCAACAAAATTGTAAAAACCAACATTTAAATGAGAATTTATATACTATTTATTAGAAAGAAGATACAAAAGTTTTCATGTGTTTTAAAGGGGATACAAGTTTTCATGTGTTTTAAAGGGGATACAAGTTTTCATGTGTTTTAAAGTGGGTACAAGTTTTCATGTGTTTTAAAGGGGATACAAGTTTTCATGTGTTTTAAAGGGGATACAAGTTTTCATGTGTTTTAAAGTGGGTGCAAGTTTTCATGTGTTTTAAAGGGGATACAAGTTTTCATGTGTTTTAAAGGGGATACAAGTTTTCATGTGTTTTAAAGGGGATACAAGTTTTCATGTGTTTTAAAGGGGATACAAAATTTCATGTGTTTTAAAGGGGATACAAGTTTTCATGTGTTTTAAAGGGGATACAAGTTTTCATGTGTTTTAAAGGGGATACAAGTTTTCATGTGTTTTAAAGGGGATACAAGTTTTCATGTTAGGTTTCATGTTTCAAGTTAGTTTGAGAAAAGCAAATGAAAAATAGGAACATTTGAATTCATTGATCAATATCAACACTATTCTACTTTCTACATTCGTGAGTACAATATCACTAACTATGGCGCAGGTGACAATGAAAATTGCTTTTTAAATATTTAATCATTTAAACTTTTTTTTTATCTGTAATATCTCATGTTGTAACTTTTGATATATCAAACTATTCAAATAGTCAATATATAACTCAATAAATATGTAATTTTTTTTAAACCAAATTTGTTTGAGGTGAAAGCGCATGATACCCAGCATGAGTATAGTATGTCTACCAAGCAGAAATTACTTCATGTCCTGGCATGCACAACCAACACTGTATCCTTCCTGCTCACGTTTTCATGCTTTGCATGCCTCTGTATGTTCTGGTGCTGTCATACGGTAAGCTTATCATGGGTAGGACAAATCAACGATAAAATGAATTTTAGGAATCCAATGGTTTTAAAATCAAGTTTGCAATAAAGGGATCAGTCCCATGTACAAGGAGATCCTGTTTCTATTATAGGGATTTTATTCCGTTTGTATGGATGAAGACGACATTTTGGAAGTAATGAATGGACTATTGTTAAGTTAGAATAAGAGAGAAAAGAATATAAAAATCATCTTTAGTATAATTCAATAATCCAATTCAGGATTCGATTCTTTCAAAGACCTAGTTTGTATTGCAGCCTTGCAGGGCATGTATTTTTTCATGCTGTTTTAGACTACAGTGTTGCAAGTTGAAAACGTATTGTTTGACCTGTGGCAAACTGTACAAGATACAATTACTTATGATGTAAAATACTGATGGAAAAAGCCAAGTGTTACAACTTAAATAAAATCCGCAGTTATGTCTAGATAATTATAGAAATATAAAAATTCATAAAAAAAAACAATAATTTTTTCTTATATTTTTAGTTTTTCCTAACTGATGTAGGTGGAGTACCCTACTACCTGGGGATGCTAATGACAGGAATAGTTTGTCCCAGTTTCTCAGGTAGATCATCTACTATTTAAAAGTACTGTTACTTAGGTAGATCATCTACTTTAAAAAAGAACTGTTTCTCAGGTAGATCATCTACTATTTAAAGGTACAGTTACTCAGGTAGATCATCTACTTTAAAAAAGAACTGTTTCTCAGGTAGATCATCTACTATTTAAAGGTACAGTTACTCAGGTAGATCATCTACTATTTAAAGGTACTGTTTCTCAGGTAGATCATCTACTATTTAAAGGTACTGTTTCTCAGGTAGATCATCTTCTATTTAAAGGTACTGTTTCTCAGGTAGATCATCTACTATTTAAAGGTACAGTTACTCAGGTAGATCATCTACTTTTTAAAGGTACTGTTTCTCAGGTAGATCATCTACTTTTTAAAGGTACTGTTTCTCAGGTAGATCATCTACTATTTAAAGGTACTGTTTCTCAGGTAGATCATCTACTAGCTTTATAAAGATACTGTTTCTCAGGTAGATCATCTAGTAGCTTTATAAAGATACTGTTTCTCAGGTAGATCATCTACTATTTAAAGGTACTGTTTCTCAGGTAGATCATCTACTATTTAAAGGTACAGTTACTCAGGTAGATCATCTACTTTATAAAGGTACTGTTTCTCAGGTAGATCATCTACTATTTAAAGGTACTGTTTCTCATGTAGATCATCTACTAGCTTTATAAAGATACTGTTTCTCAGGTAGATCATCTACTAGCTTTATAAAGATACTGTTTCTCAGGTAGATCATCTACTAGCTTTATAAAGATACTGTTTCTCAGGTAGATCATCTACTCTTTAAAGATACTGTTTCTCAGGTAGATCATCTACTATTTAAAGGTACTGTTTCTCAGGTAGATCATCTTTGTTTTAAAGAGACTGTTTCTCAGGTAGATCATCTACTCTTTAAAGAACTGTTTCTCAGGTAGATCATCTACTATTTAAAGGGACTGTTTCTCAGGTAGATCATCTATTCTTAAAAGGTACTGTTTCTCAGGTAGATCATCTACTCTTTAAAGGACTGTTTGTCAGGTAGATCATCTTCTATTTAAAGGGACTGTTTCTCAGGTATATCATCTACTCTTTAAAAGAACTGATTCTTAGGTAGATCATCTACTACTTAAAGGTACTGTTTCTCAGGTAGAGCTTCTAATTTTTAAAGGAACTCTTTCTCAGGTATATAATCTACTCTTTAAAGGTACTGTTTCACAGGTAAATTATCTACTATCTAAATAGACTGTTTCTCAAGTAGATTATCTACTTTTTAAAGGGACTGTCACATAAACTATCTATAGTAGGGTGTGGTTCATTTGGCGTTCTGTAACGTTTCGTCTTATTTTGTCTAGCTCCTTGAAAGTCGGCCTGGTCCTTGAACCGGAGTTTACCATTTTGTAGTTGAGTCGGCCTGGTCCTTGAACCGGAGTTTACCCTGCTTTAGTTGAGTCGGTTTGGTCCTTGAACTGCAGTTTACCGTTTTGTAGTTGAGTCGGCCTGGTCCTTGAACCGGAGTTTACCCTGCTTTAGTTGAGTCGGCCTGGTCCTTGAACTGTAGTTTACCGTGCTGTAGTTGAGTCAACCTGGTCCTTGAACCGAAGTTTACCATGCTGTAGTTAAGTCGGCCTGGTCCGTGAACCGGAGTTTACCGTGCTGTAGTTGAGTTGGCCTGGTCCTTGAACCGGAGTTTACTGTGCTGTAGTTGAGTTGGCCTGGTCCTTGAACCGGAGTTTACCATGCTGTAGTTAAGTTGGCCTGGTCCTTAAATCGGAGTTTACCATGCTGTAGTTGAGTGGGCCTGGTCCTTGAATTGGAGTTTACAGTGCTGTAGTTGAGTCGGCCTGGTCCTTGAACCGGAGTTTACCATGCTGTAGTTGAGTTGGCCTGGTCCTTGAACCAGAGTTTAGCGTGCTGTAGTTGAGTCGGCCTGGTCCTTGAATTGGAGTTTACAGTGCTGTAGTTGAGTCGGCCTGGTCCTTGAACCGGAGTTTACCATGCTGTAGTTAAGTTGGCCTGGTCCTTGAATTGGAGTTTACCGTGCTGTAGTTGAGTCGGCCTGGTCCTTGAACCAGAGTTTACAGTGCTGTAGTTGAGTCGGCCTGGTCCTTGAACCGGAGTTTATGTTCTGAAGTTGAGTCAGCCTGGTCCTTGAACAGAAATTTAACGTGCTGTAGTTAAGTCGGCCTGGTCCTTGAACCGGAGTTTACCATGCTGTAGTTAAGTTGGCCTGGTCCTTGAACTGGAGTTTACTGTGCTGTAGTTGAGTTGGCCTGGTCCTTGAACCGGAGTTTACTGTGCTGTAGTTGAGTCGGCCTGGTCCTTGAACCAGAGTTTACCATGCTGTATTTGAGTCGGCCTGGTCCTTGAACCGGAGTTTACTGTGCTGTAGTTGAGTCGGCCTGGTCCTTGAACCAGAGTTTACCATGCTGTATTTGAGTCGGCCTGGTCCTTGAACCGGAGTTTACCATGCTGTTGTTGAGTCGGCCTGGTCCTTGAACCGGAGTTTACAGTGCTGTAGTTGAGTTGGCCTGGTCCTTGAACCGGAGTTTACCGTGCTGTAGTTGAGTTGGGCTGGTCCTTGAACTGAAGTTTACCGTGCAGTAGTTAAAACTTCAATTGACCCTCCATTTCACAACAGTATCTTAAAATTAATTCTTATATAATGCAAAATTTGTCTGTGTACACTGTACAGTGTACAGTTACTGTATTTCATGTTTGTTCTTGCTTCACATTTTCTTTTTCTTTAGAACAATTTAATTTTTTTTCAGGTCTACTGAGGGTGATAACTTTGTTCTTTACAAAACGTTTTTATCGTAAAGAACAATCTTTGCTAAATAAAAATGGGTATCCATTCAGAACAAGCAGGTTTATTACAGAGCACTTACAAAATATTTTCTAACTAAATAATTCTGACCACAAAATTTTTCCGATACAAAATGTTCCCAAACATAAAACTTTTTTCGAATGTTTACGACCACAAAATAATTCCGATCAAAAAATGTTTTCGACTACAAAATTTTTCCACCACAAAATGTTTCCGACCACAAAATGTTTCCGGCAAAAAAATTTTCCGGTCACAAAATGTTTTCAACCACAAAATGTTTCCACCACATAAAAGCCTGACCAACAATTTTTTCTACCCAACAAACAAATTAAAATAAAGCGTAAAGCTTATTTTCTTAAAAGAAAAAAGTAGTAATTCCCCCATTGTTAATCTCACTGAACATAAAAGGAGATTTTTTAGTCCATGTTTATTTTACAAAAAAAATAGATGTGAATAAGTTGACTGATTAAGGATTTCTAAAATCTTCAACCCTGCTGAGGTTCTTCAGCTACCAACATCTAGCACTAATATTAACAGGTAAACTGCAGCTTCACACCGGCTTAGAGATTGAAATATCTTTTTCCAAATAGGGTTTTCCATTCGCAAAACTTTTGCGCAATTTTTGTGGAACGAATTGCGCAATCATTCGCAAAAGTCATTTCGCGCAAAATTGCCCTGTTCCGCTTTTGCGAAACTCAAGTTTTGCGCAATTCCGCAATTTCGTAAAAATCAAACGGTTGGTGACAGTGTGCGTGTTTCTTAGAATTCAATTCTGGAAAAATCTTGTTTTGGAATGTCTTCCTATTGGTCACTTTACATATAATTGACCAATGACAGTTAAGAAGAGTTCAAATCTCACAATTTTCTCGACAATTTTAGTTTTGAACATGCATATTTCCTAAAAGTGGATTCTTCAGGCAATTGGTTACTTTCTTGCATTATCTTATATGAGATTAAAAAGATTTCAGAAATTTGGTTAAAAAAATTTAAGAATATAATTCATACTTGATTAGGCAAAGCTTTTAGGGGTCACTTGAAATTATTTAATAGGATTAAAATATTGCCAAGTTTCACACTCTCTAATTTCTATTTTATTAATTTTGGTCCCTTATAATTTAAACTTTTTGTAACTGGAAGTAACCAATTGAATGTAGTACAATCGTTATCATACTCGTATGTTAATATTTTTTTATGTATGGAATAAATCTTTAGTTGTTTAATTCTAAGCTTAGAATATCAATTTTTGACAATTTGCCTAAAAAATACATTTTGCGTAAAACTTGCGGTTTTGCACAAATTGCGCAAAAAAATGCGCAAAACTAAAATTTCGTTTCATGCGCAACTTTCGCAAAAAATATTTCTGGTTTTGCGCAAATTGTGCAAAAAAATAGCGCAAAACTCATTGCGTTTCATGCGCAAAAATAGCGTAAAAGTTCGCAAAAAAAATTTGCGCGAAAATAGCGCAAATTTGTGCAAAAGATTTAGCCATTTCGTGGAAACCCTATTTCCAAACGAATTAGGAAAGCGAAAACGAACAATTCAAATTGGTAGATATTAACAGTCAGACCGTTTACAAATGATTCCTAAATCGTTGGTTTGAACAACGAGCGTATTTTTGGTGAACGAACAAATGAACAAATTTTTGAAAAATTTCAAACAAACGATAATGCTGAACAAACGATTTAATGGAACGATCGTATTTAAAAAAAAACAAATGAATGGACGGGTTTCAAGCGATAATTCTTTAAAAACAAATGAATAAAAATTTTTACTGACCGAAGGGGAAAAAAGGAATGGGTCGTTAACTAAAGAAGAACGAATGATTTAAAAAACAAAACATTCAACGCCCATTTTCAAATGTGCAAAAAACTTGATATTTTAATCGGTGGACACCTTGTAAATTTTTACAACCAACCAGCTGCCAAATGATTGGCGTCTTCATTATTTTGTTTGGGTAAAATGTAAGTGTTTAGACTAATGTAGAGTTTTGCAAAAATGTTAGCAGCTTAGTTTCCAAATATAATCCACGGTGCCCCATACAGAAGTATGGGCTGATGGCCAGTTTTTTAAACGACAATAAATATTTTGAGTTTTAAAATAGAATTGCGATTGTTTTGAAGAGAGTAGTTTTCAAAATTAGAGTTCAAATATAGTCTACAATAATCTACATATCGTCATCTTTTGTAAATCTGGATCAATTTTTAAAACCCTTTCATGTTTGTTTTGTTTAGTTACAACTCAGTTCATTCTACAACGATTCTTGTGAATTTCAGTAAGCAGTTCATTGCAAACATCATAATGATAGGTCAGTCAGAAAATTTTTACTTTCTTTAAAAATGTTTTGAAGATTGTTCCCATGTTTTTCAACCAAATTTTACAAAATCAAATTCGCTGAAAAATTTCCTATAACTAACTTTGGAAAAGCATTTTTGCAAAACTTTTAGAAAATATAAAAAAAACATTAAAAAACCGAAATTATCTTAGATCGGGTGAGACTGTTTTCTGGGCACTTTATTGTTCTTGTTTGTTTGTTCAAAAAATCATTTTTTTTTTTTCAAAAAACAATTATTTTTCTCAAATTAGCGAATAAATCTATAAAAACATCTGAGGTAACAAAATTTTCAAAATGACGGTAAATGCTTCTTTAAAAAGATTTTGCCCAGATAAATGTTAGGATTTTGCACAGATAAATGTTTGGATTTTGCACAGATAAATGTTTGGATTTTGCACAGATAAATGTTTGGATTTTGCACAGATAAATGTTTGGATTTTGCACAGATAAATGTTAGGATTTTGCACAGATAAATGTTTAGATTTTTGTAAAATGACTTTTGTTTGCAGATAAATAAATAGAGCCAAAAACATATAATTTTTATTTTGCCCCTTCAAACCATTAAACTCAGGATTGATTATTTCAAATTTAATATTTTATATTTTATATATTTTTCATCATCAATATTTTGTTTAGTTGTGCAGCTTCCTCAACTTGTGATGAACCTCTCATACTATAGATTTGATATATCAAAAAGCTCAGAATGGCGATCATTTCTAAGGAAGGGATTTTAGTGATTTTTTACTTTAAACATCTCTTTAGGGAACCTTTAAAGGGACTTGAGGCGAAACCCCTTCCACCCTAGAACAGAACCGTTCCTTCCTTTTTAAAAATGTTCACCACCATACATATGCTAAACTTTCTTACAAAGAAATAAATTAGAAATAAACTTTTTAAATCAGAGACAATTTTGTAAAAGTCCGGTTATGTTTGAGAAATACAGTGTGTACAGGTTTCTAATCAAACCCCGTTTCTTTTCATTTTGATTAAAAAGAAAATAACTAAGAATATAATTAATATCAACTTATCAATTACATGGCTTTCAAATATGATTTCATCTGATAATTGTTACAGAAACAATGCTTCAGATGGCATTTCAACGTTTCGAGCCTGTAAGTATAATGTACAGTGTACAGTGTAAAGTGTACATAGTGTACATAGTGCCTACTAGCTGGTACGGTTTTTCATATAACCGGAGTTTTCAGGGACTTTTTCCCTCACAACTATTTGGATAATTAGCATGAGAGGGTCCTGCAAATGAAAGTTGAAATATTGAAAAATCTTAAACCCTAAATCCAAATTAACTGGGTGTAGTATCTCTCTTGTGTTGGTCCCTGTCTGCTTCTACATGTCCTTCTTCTTCCTGTGGCTTTGCTATAAACTTGACGAGGGGTACTTTATACAATCCAACATGTTCTTCAAATATAAGGTACAGGCTCACCCACAACCCTTTGAAGGGAGTGTTCGCAAAGATAAAAGGGGGTATTGTCCATTTACTGATGAAAGACGCTACAGTTTGTTTAGATTTCAATAAATACTCCCTTTTTTCGCAAACCTCTCTTTAAAGGGAGTGACCGGCAATGTTTGGTAGTTTTACTGAGAATGTAGTATTGTGGAGAACATTTTTTGGATTCATTTGAGACATTTAAAACGTTTTAATGGTGAATAATTGCTGGGTTTGAGTGCAAAGTTGACGTTCAAAATCATCCATTTGGGGGTTACGTTTTGAGAATCGATTTTTCTAAAATTAATAAATACGACGACAAAAAATGTAAAAAAAGTCTACAATAAACTGATGGCATAAATAGATACAGGTTGAAAAATAAAAATTAACTCTTGTCATCGAAAATAAGTAATCTTACTTAGTTATTTGTTTATATAATAACTCATTGTTCACAAACGTTTCACTTAGATTTCCTGAAATTTGAATTGAAAAGACGTCATTTGAAGAAATCATGAAAACAAATTCTCAAAGAATAAGAAATTCAATATAATGATAAAAAAGAAATAATTGATTTAACATTAATTTATTGAAAAATTTTCTATTGCGAATATTTTTACATTTTTCGTCGTCGTTATTCAATAATTTTAAAAAGATCGGTTCTCAAAACGTGACCCCCCAAATGGATGATTTAGAACGTTGATTTTGCGATCAAACTCAGTATTATTGTACATTATTAAAACGTTTTATATGTCTCAAATTAATCTTAAAAGTGTTCTCCAAAATAACACATTCTCAGTTCAACTTCCATACTTTGCTGGTCACTCCCTCTAAAAACGCTAAAAATATTAAATATAAAGCTGTTATGGTGTTCATTATGTTGTAAAAGTAAGAAACAAAAAATGCGTTAAACGTTTTTCAAGCCTCACATCGTTTGTGGTTAACCAAAGGAGCGCTTCGAACACAAGTATTGGTTTCTTTTTAAGATAAGCTAGACAAATTTATTTCAAGAGAATTGAGTCCTTGCCACAAACTCAAATTTGCTAAAGTTGATATACTTACTAATTGTGTAAAGTTTTTATACCTAAATTATATATTTTATCTAAAAGAGTTCGTAGCTTGAAAGTATCTAAGTTCTATCCCTCATTTCCGATTACACTTCCTGAAATCTATTATATTATACTTCATTATATCTGTTTCCGATTACACTTCCTGAAATCTATTATATTATACTTCATTATATCTGTTTTCGATTACACTTCCATAAATCTATTATATTATACTTGATTATATCTGTTTCAGAATACACTTCCTGAAATCTATTATATTACACTTCATTATATCTGTTTCCGATTACACTTCCATAAATCTATTATATTATACTTAGTTATATCTGTTTCAGAATACATTTCCTGAAATTTCTTATATTACACTGCATTATATCTGTTTCAGAATACACTTCCTGAAATCTATTATATTATACTTCATTATATCTGTTTCAGAATACATTTCCTGAAATATATTATATTATAATTCATTATATCTGTTTCAGAATACATTTCCTACAATCTGTTTTGAATATACTTCATTATATCTGTTTCGGAATACATTTCCTATAAATCTGTTTTGAATATACTTCATTATATCTGTTTCGGAATACATTTCCTGAAATATATTATATTATACTTCATTATATCTGTTTCAGAATACACTTCCTACAATCTGTTTTGAATATACTTCGTTATATCTGTTTCGGAATACACTTCCTGAAATCAGTTTTGAAAACACTTTCTGAAAAATGTTTTGATTTCACTTAAACTTTTCTGTTTTTGCTGAAGATGAAAGAAATTGCATTTTAGAAAAGATGTTTAAAAACAAGTTGTAATGGAAAGGAAAACCTGGAGCTACAAGAGGATATAATTAATGATGCTTCAAGATTTATTCAAACCTGCCAGGTACAACTACAAGGGTGTCCCAATAAAAATAGGATTTGAGGTACAGTGTGTCTTATTAAACACGGGAATTGAGTGAAGAATACCAAACCTTTGTGAAGAATACGCGTTGTACTTGTGTTGCACAATTTCAAGGTTCGTAAATAAAGTTACGCGCCCAAGCTACTATATAGGGTATTTTTATGTAAATGGTAATTGACATTTATTCTGGAAAACGTTGTATGATGTCTCTTTAACATATCTGCAAGATGAACAGTTAAGAGGAATAAACTACACTTTGTTTGTAAACATAAATATCTAATTTTACAAAGTACAAGACAGTATGCAATCAAAATATAAACACACAAATTCTTAACTCTAGCCGCCTTGCGGCTCCAGCAGACAAAAGATTTATTATTTTACCTATAGGAGGCATGCATCCAATAGGAGGCATCCATCCTATAGGAGGCATCCATCCTATAGGAGGCATCCATCCAATAGGAGGCATCCATCCTCAAGCATCGAGAAAAGATTTATGAGTTTTAGCTTTCCTTAAGGAGGCATCCATCACTTTACCATATAAAAAAATATTTAAAACGAAGATATCAAATCTTCACTCAATTTTCATGTTTATTGTGACACCCTGTATCTCAATTATTTTACTAATCAGTGTTTACTTTTAAATGTTTATTTATGTATAAAATAATTGTTGATAAAATCATAACAAGCTTTGATGGAACCTCACCAAGGTTTTTTATCAGGGCATTGCAAATGCAAACATGCATAATGCATATCTAAAAAATAATAATTTTGATGCGCATTAAACGGGGTTAAAATTGTATTATTAGGAGAAATTACAAGCTTAATATCAACATCTGTTAATTTTTTGGCATTTTAATAAGATTACAATTCTGTAAAAAAAAAATGAGTGTCTTATCATATGTAAATATGATGAAATTAAAAATTATCAAATCTGGACCCAGTAAATTCTTATTTGTAAATTCGAATACAAATGGTTCTAAAATTTAAAAGTTAAATAGATCTTATCTTTGTTTAAAGGAATATAGAGAAGATCTGCATACATCGGCTGAAGCAGAAGTTAAGGTGAGTTTATAATCCATTAAAGAAAAGGCTTGAATTTGTAAAAGAAAAATATGATTTTTTTTTAAATATTCTGAAAAAGTTATTTTTTAAAAAGAAAAAAAAGTTTTTTCTATCAAAGAAGCAGGGCTTTCAAATCCCAGCATAAATGGCAGAATGAAATTTAGTTAACGAGAAAGGTTTTTTGTAAAAACTAACAGAATATAAATGAAAAAATATAAATATTCTTAAACAAAGCTTGCAGAAATATAAAATTACCTTTTTCGTTTGAATTTAAAAAAACGGAAGCATGGTTGTGAGAAGCATATAACTTCAACCCATAATCTAATCATGAATTTGGTTTAGTTACTTTGCTGCACTATTCGCAAGGATTTGATGTTTTCAGGTAATTTAAAAAGTATTAAATTGTTATAAGTTGTGTTATTGACCAGAACAATAAAAAATATATTTTTAACATTTCCTTATTTTTTTGTTCAGTCAAAAATAGTTTTTCCTGGTGTAATAGAATGCAATGAATAGAAAGTCGTCTTCATTGTATAGATATATACGACGACGGCCGTATTCAATCTACTCACTAGCTAGCAGAGACAGATTGTATCAAATATTGTATTATAACATTATAGTCATATGATAATAAAGTTGAAAATAATCCGTTTACATATTTCGTAACAAGATAAAAACAATTGTTTTAAAAAGTCTAAAACACTGGGCATTGGTCATCATATTTATATATTTTTTTTTTACATTTAGGACCGTTAGGCTTTCATGAGAGGCTTCCATGTTACAAAAGTGTGTTCTCTAAAAGTTTGTTTTTATTACATTATGTAAAATGTTAAGCCTGAACAATTTATCTTGCTTTGTTCATTCCTTTATTTTGCTTGATTTCATGAAAGAAAACTGGTGTAACACTTTGGTCTTGGTAGGAACATGTAATATACGTACCTCCCTATCCAAGGAATTATAAAAAGGAACGCACAACTTAGATATACGCATATTGCTTACTATACACTGTGGGAGGAATGTAAACAAACCCAGTGCCCCACAGAAGTTTAACAAGTACAACAAAAAACAAGTTAATATATCAAGTTAGAGAGAATACATATAATATTTGGCTTTCTGGTCAATATGGAAAATACAATATCAATATATTCTTATTCCATCCCTTGGGCCTTTTTCCCTCAAAAATGATGCGTTGCCACGGATTCATACAGTGGTAATCGATTATATCAATACAATGAAGACGAATTTTGATTTAAATTTTGGTGTAAATGGAGCTGCTAAACAGCATGGATACAGTTCAAAATAGAAGTCAAGAGAAGCTGTCAATTAAAAAAGATTCTCTTTGATTACTTGTAAACTTGTAATTCGAATAAACCATCAAAACTTAAATAAAAAATTCGTCTTCATTAAATGTAATCGCCTACCACTGTACTTTTCCGTGGTTTTATCTATATAAAATCGCCTATCATTGTACTTCTCGGCGGTTTTATCTTAGAATAATCCTTCGTCGTTTTCTCCAAAGAATTTGTTTTCTAGACCGGGGTTGACAACAATCAAAAGTTTACTAGTGATTTGCAAAGTTTTTTTAGTTAAAATAATATGAAGATTCTAGAATATTTTGGAAATAGAAAATCTTCTTATTTGATCAGTAATATAAAGATTGTTACTAAAAACACATCCAAGATGGTTGAACTCAAATTAACCTACAAAATCAGATCAGAGATTAACAAAATTCCAATAAATGTTTAGAACAGAAGACCTGTAAGAGTAATTGATGGAAAAAAATGACGAAAACACCTTAACCCACCTTGAAAAGGCAGATTATGGCCGTATACAAAATAGCAATTAAGCCGGTGATGGAGATCTCATAAAGTGACTGTTTACTGATATCATGCTTCTAGTAGAAAACCCATCACACAAGCAACTTCTTAAGCAGCATTTTTCATATTTAACTTTTTAAAAAAATGGTTTTGGTGATGAATTGAATGATCAATAACATGCGTATTAGCGCTGTTAATTAGGGTTTCCAGCGTACGTAACGTGTCGGTAACAAATGTGAAAAAATGCGAAAATTTTCGTTCGAATTTCGCAAACTTTTCCGTTAATTTTCGCATTTTTTCGCTAAAATAATTTCCTTTTTCGCTGGAAACGCTGTGAATATGTATTTTAAATTAAATTGTAGCATACATTTAAAAAAATCTAGATTTAAGCCATTGTTGCAGTAATTTGCACAAAAATATACACATGAACAAACTCAAATCGAAAGAGTGCCCTAGGATGATGGCACTACATTCTGTGGAGCTAAAATCTCCTTAAATGCCGAAAAAGAGATTATTAACACTATGCTTAATTACGGTCTTCCAACCACCAAAATGGCAAATGTTTGACTTTGAGAACTTTCTGAGTATTCTTAAGGACATGGCTGCGTAGGAAAAGTTTTAAATAATAAGCAAATAAAAAAAAAAACATGATTAAAGTTTCAAAGAGAATTTATTTTTGTATGCGTTTACTGGCTTTTATTCCATGTCAACTACAGTTTTTTATGGAAACAAATGGAAGTCAGATTGATAAAGAACACCAATGAATGATATAAAGCATGAGACACATGTATGCAACCCTTAGATTGATTCATTTTTATTCTTCGAATTTGTCATTTTTAGCCCAAATAATTAAAAATTTTCACTTTGTGTGTTTTTTTTAGTAACACCCTTATTAGCATGATTACGTTCAAATTAATAATACTTTTTTATTAAAACTTTGACATTTTGCCACAAAAAAACTTTCCTGACATCCAAAAACATAGCAAAAAGAAATACTTTCTCACTTGAAAAGTTGCATTGAATTCCAATGTGTATTGTTATTTTTGTCTTCAAATTAATTAAGTTCAATGAATATGTTAAAAAAAAAACATGGTTTAAATATTTAAAAACACAAAGAGATTTTCCCGTTTTCTAAAATATTTGCGTATCTGTAGATATATTGATTTTTCAATTAGCATATAGATAGAATAATGACGCCAAACAATGAAGAAACCAAAAAGAAAATAGTGGATACGTCACAAAAAATACAGGTGTGTAACCTTTCAGAAAATAACGTTCATGCATTTATATTTTCTAATCAAATGTAACTCAGAAAGGTCATATGGGCAATGTTATATTAACGAATTAACGAACAGCAAGGTCTGTTCAGTTAACGATCATATCAAAAGAAATATTGACTTGCATAATTCAAGTTTCATGGTAAGAAAAAGATTGACGAAGAGGACGACTTTTAGAAATATAAACTCCCTCCTTTACACAGCTCACACAGTAAATGTTTGGAATATGATGAATAAGAATAAAAGTTTGTGAGTAGGGGGGGCAAAAATAATATTTTTGACCCCCCTAGGCATAGCACTGCAATGTAGTTCACCAAAATCATAATGTAGCCCTTCAATTATTAACCAGGCAAACTTTACCTTTTTTAAAATATGCCAGGGAAATTTTTTAAGGTTTTTATTATTAAACTTTAAAAAAACGTTTTTAAAAGTTTTAAATTGTCTTTAAAGGTTGTTTAAAGTCTTTAATTTAAAGGTTGTTTAAAGACTTTAATTTAAAGGTTGTTTAAAGACTTTAATTTAAAGGTTGTTTAAAGACTTTAAATTAAAGGTTGTTTAAAGACTTTAATTTAAAGGTTGTTTAAAGACTTTAATTTAAAGGTTGTTTAAAGACTTTAATTTAAAGGTTGTTTAAAGACTTAAATTTAAAGGTTATTTAAAGACTTTAATTTAAAGGTTGTTTAAAGACTTTAAAGAGTAAGTTTTTGCAAATTATGTTTTTAATTATCAGATCTGAGTTCGTTTCCTTTTTTCAATCTGACCGCCTTTTTTTGTTTATTTTCTTGTGGTTTTTAACAATTTTTCATTTTTGATTTTGATGGTTATTTTATCGTTAAAACTAACAAGGATCAACCCGGACCAATTTTTATAAAATGTGGATTTAACATCTACTCTGTGAGGTTGGTAGATCATCATCTCCGAATTATAAATGTTTTGAACGTTTAGGAAGTTCTTCTTCTGCTACTTGCTGACAACGATGATCTCCGAGATCGATTAGAAAAGGAGGCAGCAGAAAGGTTTTTATTATAAAATTTTCAACAAAAAAAATTGAAATAGTACAGAATATAAAAATACAATTCGTTAAACAACTTTATGTAAAAAGCAAAAAATTGAAATTTCCTTATATTTAAGTTTTTAAAAAAAAATGTAGTGTTATATTTTAACTTATATAATTGATATTTATTGAATTTTTAGTATTTGCAGATTTAATTGCTTTCGGGCAGAATAAGAGACCTAATTAAAAATTTTAAATCCACCTTTTATCTTCTGTATAAATATATTTTTTTATATGTTATCCAAAGCTGGCCAAAGTTTTTTTTTCGAAATTCGAATTTTTATCAAAATGTTGATCTATTGTAGAGCACGGGAAACTGCTGAGCTGAGAGACAGATTAGACAAAGAAACAAGGTACTAAACAAACCAAACTGTACGGTGGACTAGGGTCTATTTGAATTCGAACCGGATCGACCCCCTTGTGCCGGGCTTTGTGACATGCAGGATGTACCGGCCCGACCGTATTCTATGCCGGCTCGGTTTTAATTTTAGTGGCGCGGTCAGTACCCTGTATCTACAGAATATATCAAATGTCTAGGGATCTACTGAATAAATAAAATGTCTAGGAATCTTCAGAATATCTCAAATGTCTAGGAATCTGCTGAATATATCAAATGTCTAGGGATCTAATAATTATATAAAATGTCTAGAAATCTTCAGAATATATCAAATGTCTAGGAATCTACTGAATATATCAAATGTCTAGGAATCTGCTGAATATATCAAATGTCTAGGGATCTACTGAATATATAAAATGTCTAGGAATCTTCAGAATATATCAAATGTCTAGGAATCTACTGAATATATCAAATGTCTAGGAATGTTCAGAATATATCAAATGTCTAGAGATCTACTGATTATATAAAATGTCTAGGGATATACTGAATATATTAAATGTCTAGGAATCTACTGAATATATAAAATGTCTAGGGATCTACTGAATATATAAAATGTCTAGGGATCTACAGAATATATTAAATGTGTGGGATCTACAGAATATATCAAATGTCTAGGAATCTTCTGATTATATCAAATGTCTAGGGATCTACTGAATATATAAAATGTCTAGGAATTTACTGAATATATCAAATGACTAGGAATCTACTGAATATATTAAATGTCTAGGGATCTACTGACTATACTAAATTTCTAGGAATTTACTGAATATATCAAATGACTAGGGATCTACTGAATATATAAAATGTCTAAGGATCTACTGAATATATCAAATGACTAGGGATCTACTAAACATATAAATGTCTAGGGATCTACTGAATATATAAAATGTCTAGGGATCTACTGAATATATAAAATGTCTAGGGATCTACGTAATCAGCTTGAGAAAGAGATGGATGAGAGAATACAAGAAGGAAGGAGTTTAAGCCTAAAAATAGATCAGAATGCAGAGGTAAATAAACAATTTAGATACTTTGAGTTCTTTTTTTTATTTATTCCTGAGGTTTGTTAGATTCAGATATACTATACAATACATAGATAATATTGTAATGATTGTCGTCTTCTTTATTTCTTTAAATTCTAAAATTTCTCTTAAGATTTCATATAACTTACAATGAAACCCTTAATAACGAATACATCGAAAGAATTCATCATATGTCGTATTCTTCACTTTCTAATAATGGAATGTTGCAGATATTTAGTTTTTTAATTAAATGATTGTATGGAACTTTTTAAAACTCTTCCGGCATATTCATGGCTATTTATTTATTTTCGCAAATACTGAAATTTACGTAATATACTGGGTGTCCCACGAAACATGACATTTAATAAATCGTTATTTTTAGTTAAAACATCCTTTTGCTTCATTATCTTTTACTTTGAATTCAATTTTAATATAACATGACTCCCATATAATACTTTTATTGATCTTTGGTATCAAACAACTTAACAAATTATGGAAAAAGACATTCTAAACTATTCACCAACTGTCATGTTTCGTGGGACACCCTGTAGTATAAAACTCATTGAAAAGTAGTCAAGACGACGTTTGATATATTCTTCCGATGTATTCGTTATTAAGGGTTTCACTGTATTATATTTAAGCAGGTATAAACACAAGAACAACAGTTTAAAACAATTCGTATATTCGTCTTTGAAGTCTGAACCTTTGTGGGTAAACCTGTATAATCAGCCAATTAAGTGAAATGGGTGTGTGTACTGTGTACACAACATAATAATTGCTGTGTCTCAATGAACTATTTACAGTCATAAATTAAGTCTAACAGTCGTCTTCCTATTCCACAGTTGTATGGGTCCCAGTGTATACACCGCTGTTTGTCATTATATATTTTAGGGTATGTCTGTCTACCCAACATTTTTTTTGGCAACTAACATTACCCAATGGATGGTTTCTGGACCGTTAAAATAAAAAAATCTTTCTTGAAAAAAACATCGACTTTCTTAAATAGAACCACTTTAACAAAAAATTCTGCTAAAATTTGAGAACGATTTAAAGACTTTCACACCAACAAATAAAAGCCAGAACTGTTAAGAAGGAAATGCGGTACGAAGCGCACTAAAAAGCCTAGTTTCTATTGGTTTATTGGTCCCATTGTAAAAAGTGTAAATGTTTAGAGCGGAAATGGAGAAATGAAGGATCTACGTGAAATGTTGTTGCAAGAGCGAGATGAACGAATAGACGGAGACACCAATATTGACAACTTTTTCAGGTTTCGGTTTTACAACAGTTTGCTTGAAAAAAATTATAAAATCTTATTGTTACAATGTTACAACTAGAGTTGGGGGCTGTTAAGTTTTGTCAATTTTATTTGAGTTTTATTTTAGAAAAGAAAACGATGATAGGAAGAAGAACCTGGAAGATGTGAATGAATGGATAAGAGTGGAAAATGAGAAAAGGTAAAAAAAAAACTTCCAGAATTTGTTTTAACTTTTAATTATAACTTTTTAACGGGAGTGACCGGCAATGTATGGTAGTTGAACTGATAATGTAGTATTGTGGAGGTATTTTTAAGGATTCATTGGAGACATAAAAACATTTTAATGATGTATAATTACTATTTTGAGCGCAAAGTCGAAGTTTAAAATCATGGATGGTTACGTTTTGAGAATCGATTTTTTAAACATTATTAAATATTGACGACAAAAAATGTAAAAAATTCCACGGTAAAATAATCAGATGTTTAGGAAAATATTTCTTAATTGAAATTTTCTCAATAAATCAATGTTAGAATCAATTATTTCTTTTTCAAACTTTTATTGTGTTTCTCTTTTTTTATTTGTTCGCATATTTCTTCAAATTCTTCAAATGCTGTTAACGGGTTTGCAGTCGTAATTACATTAGGGGTAATTACGCGTAACACTTTCTTTCACTTACGGAGGAGCATTTCGCTAAATTACATGTTAATTATTATGCGAATGAAAGGCTAGTTGTGCGTAATTAAGGCGAAATTACACGAAATTACTTAATACGAAACCATTCCGTAATTAGTAAAGTACATATTAATTCTCAGAAATGAATATAGCGGGAAAATATGTGTAAGGAAATGTGCGATACAACCATGTCCAATCTGATTGGATAATTTAAATACTTTCAAATTGAAGTTTTGCTAAGTAGGTGTAATTATTGCAACATTAAGCGTAATTACTTTTGTAGAAATTACGCGAAAATACGGCGTAATTATGCGAAATTGAAGTTTCACTAATTACGCATAATTATTGCAATATTTCGCAAAATTACCTTGTAGAAATTATGGCGCAATTTCGCGAAATCAAAGATTTGCTAATTACGTGTAATTATTACAAAAGTTGACGAAATTACCTAGTATGAAATGACGCAAAATTACGCCTTAATTTTGTAAAATGGAAGTACGCCAAGTACGCGTAATCCTGGGTAACTACACGAAATGAAAATTATTTAGATAATTTTTTAAACCGATTCTCAAAATCATTCCTCAAAAATGAACAATTTATGAGGATTTTAAATATTGAATTTGCGCTCTTGCTGTACAAATATGCACTGTAAAAACATCTCAAAGTTCTCAAATGATACATAAAAAATGTCTGCACATTACTATATTCTCAGCTCAACTATCGTACATTGCGGGGTCACTTTCCTGAGTTCAATCTTCTGTTAGCACCAATGAATTGCCATTTTTTAAAGTAACTTATTTCTGTGCAAAATTTATCGATTTAGACCACCCATAAACATTGCCCGGGGCCATGTGAGGTACCAAAAAAAAAGTTGGGCGCATTCAACCATTTGATGTTCTCGGATACAATCACAAACAAGCTAAATTTATAGATTAAGAATTGTTCAGGCAAAAAGAAGCAGAGGAATTACGGGAAAGGATGGAGCGGGAGAAAAGAGAACTTCAAGAGTTCATTGGTATAACTTGGAAAATAATAGATCGTGTTTTTTCTTAATACTTTTTTTGCACTAAAATTTTGTGGCTCAAACTGACTTAACGGTACAACTAAGATTGTAAAAGGAGAATTGTAAAATATAACCGGCCAGTGGTTGATGATATGTTTTTTTTGTTTATGACTAAATATTATTTTTTGTAAAATATGAATGAATATTTTAAAAGGAAAAAAATACACAATTTAATGGGAGGGGGATTTGTGTCTTTTCTAGACATTTAGCTAGAGATTTTTATATTTTATACTTTTAGACAAAGACAATAAAGCCATGGCTGAAAGAATTGCTAGAGAGAATGAGGAGAGACAAAAGAGCGAGGAGGAGATGGCAAAACGTCTCAAAGCCTCTCAAGAGGTGGGGATAGCAAACTATATTTTCTGCGAATTTGTTAATACGTGGTTATTGGTTAAAAATTATAAGAAAAATTTAAAAATTTGTTGCTTCTAATTTTTATTGCTTTAACAATAAAACAACTGTACGCGACGGTGTACATACACTGTGTATTGTACATGAAAGTAAAAAAGGTACAATCCAACTGTACAGGCAAGTGAAAACGGCACAATCCAACTGTACAAGAAGATGCAAGCAGAAAACCTGGCTAGAGAAGCAGAAATAGCTGACCTAAGGGAACAATTAAATAGGTAAAATTATTTCATAATAATTGTTGGTTATTTTTTTAATTATTTTTAAAACTTTCATTTCGCACCTTATTGGTTTGATTTTATGATTATTTATACATCAAACATAAGATTTGTTGGAAATTTTTATAAATTAATAATTAATGAACCAGAAATAAAACCTAGCAAAGGAAATTTTAAAAAATGCAAATACTTCTTTTTCTTATTTCTAAAAGATTGTAATTAACAAGGGAGAAGGCTGTATATGCTGCTAAGGATTTCTAAAAGATTGTGTAATATTATTATCAAGGGATAAGGCTGTATATGCTGCTAAGGATTTCTAAAAGATTGTGTTATATAATAATCAAGGGAGAAGGCTGAATATGCTGCTAAACTAGAAAAGGAGAAGAAGGCGCTGCAGGATAGATTGGAAAAGGAGAATGCGGAGCTTCAAGACCGTTTAGCTGGACAAAAACNCAAGGGAGAAGGCTGAATATGCTGCTAAGGATTTCTAAAAGATTGTGTTATATAATTATCAAGGGAGAAGGCTGAGTATGCTGCTAAACTAGAGAAGGAGAAGAAGGAGCTGCAGGATAGATTGGAAAAGGAGAATGCGGAGCTTCAAGACCGATTAGTTGGACAAAAACAGCTTCTTCAGGTCTTATGTTAGAAATTATTTTGAAAAACTAGTCCTTCAAAAAAGACAAAAATTTGAATATTCTTCTAATAAACAGAGACACTGAAAAATAATGTGTTGTCCCATCAATACGAATTTTGAGTTATTAGAGAATAAAATATTTTTATTTACCTTAAGACAAATAAAAGTAAAAATCAATTTTCAATCAAAACATTTCACATTAAAGAGCTATTGAGATGAAAAATAATGTTTGTTTGATATGTAACCCACATAGATTCATCCTGGTTATAAAAGTCTTAATTAATTTTTAAGAAAGTTTAAGAAAGGGTCAACTTTGAAAAGTCGCAACGCCTTTTGGGCGTTGATTTTACCGCTCTAACTCAATTATACTTTTCGGTAGTCCTTTACTTGTACATTTTAGCCTTTGAGCTTTGGTTTTTAAGAAGTAATTGGCAAAATGCTCATCGATTTTTGTTTAAGACCTTTGTTGAGACCTTTAAATCACGGTGAACTGGATAAACATGATCTAACAACTTTCGCTGGGACATCTTATTATTCATTTAACGTTTTTAAATTGATCACTGATCTAATAAAATATTGTTTAAGGGAAATATTGATGGAAATCAGAATACAACTGGATTATCTATTTATTGTATTTTCCATGTAATATTTATTATCCATGTTTTGTGTTATCCATGTATCGTATATTATCCTTGTATTGTATTAACCATAAATTGTATTATCCTTGTCTTGTATTATCCTTGTATTGTATTATCCATCTATTGTATTATCCTTGTATTGTATTAACAATGAATTGTAATACCCTTGTATTGTATTAACCATGAATTGTATTATCCTTGTCTTGTATTATTCTCGTATAGTATTATCCATGTATTGTATTATCCATGTATTGTGTTATCCATGTATTGGGTTATCCTTGTATTGTTTTAACCATGAATTGTATTATCCTTGTATTGTATCATCCATTTTATTATCCATGTATTGTGTTATCCATGTATTGTGTTATCCTTGTATTGTATTATCCATGTATTGTGTTATCCATGTATTGGGTTATCCTTGTATTGTTTTAACCATGAATTGTATTATCCTTGTATTGTATCATCCTTGTATTTTATTATCCATGTATTGTGTTATCCATGTATTGTGTTATCCTTGTATTGTAATATCCTTGTATTGTATTATCCATGTATTGTATTATCCTATATTGTGTTATCCATGTATCGGGTTATCCTTGTACTGTATTATCCATGTATTGTGTTATCCATGTATTGGGTTATCCTTGTATTGTTTTAACCATGAATTGTATTATCCTTGTATTGTATCATCCTTGTATTGTATTATCCATGTATTGTGTTATCCATGTATTGTGTTATCCTTGTATTGTTATCCTTGTATTGTTTTAACCATGAATTGTATTATCCTTGTATTGTATCATCCTTGTATTGTATTATCCATGTATTGTGTTATCCATGTATTGTGTTATCCTTGTATTGTATTATCCTTGTATTGTATTATCCATGTATTGTATTATCCATGTATTGTGTTATCCATGTATTGAGTTATCCTTGTATTGTTTTAACTATGAATTGTATTATCCTTGTATTGTATTATCCATGTATTGTGTTATCCATGTATTGTGTTAGCCATGTATTGAGTTATCCTTGTATTGTTTTAACTATGAATTGTATTATCCTTGTATTGTATTATCCATGTATTGTGTTATCCATGTATTGTGTTATCCATGTATTGTGTTATCCTTGTATTGTTTTAACCATGAATTGTATTATCCTTGTATTGTATTATCCTTGTATTAAATGTACATGTACTATTCTTGTATTGTATTATCCATGTATTAAATGTACATATACTATCCTTGTATTGTATTATCCTAAAATTGTATTATCCATGTATTGTATTGTATTGTATTATCCTATATAAATGTATTATATTATTCTGATATTGAATACAAAAGTCATTATGTACAGGGTGTCCCAATAAACATGGGAATTCAGTAACGATTTAAATTAAATACAATCTAGCAGACGTAACTTTTTTTGACCATTGAAATTAGGATATACACCTATAATTCTTTACAAAGACGGTTTATAATTCGTCACCTTATTCCCATGCTGTTTAGGGACACCCTGTATTAAGATGTCTAGTGTTTAGTGTGGTGAGAATAAAATAAAGTATTATCCACAACCAAGTAATCATTTCTCCATAAGAAAACTATTTTTGTATATGTTATATATATATATCTACATAATATATATATAAATTGTGTTACGAAATTTCGTAGATGTTTGAGGGACATTTTTTCAATATGGGTTTTGGGGATATATATTTTCAAGAATGACCGCCTCCCCCTCCCCTTTTTTTAAATAGTAGGCTTTTTATTTAAATTTTTAACATTTTCTCTTTGTATACACTGTAAACAATAGCAAAAAAGTTCGCGGATTTTATAAAAAAAATCGTGCATTTTCGAAATTTAATGAAAACCGAATTTTGTAGGAGGTTAATTTTTGAAACTTTGATCCACTATAAACTATGACCTGGGGTCATGTGAGTAGGGATGTTAACGTTTTCATTTTTTTGAAAAACGATCGTTTTTTAAACGATCGTCGTTTCGTTAACGATCGTTAGCGACGACCCTTCGTTAACGATCGTTAATTAACCGACCTGAAGGGCATCTGTACTTATCATTGAGTAGTTGTTAAGAAAATATCAAGAAGTTTTAGCTCCCCCACAACTTTTAACTTCAGGTAAGACGACATTCAGAAAAGTTGCATATAATTCTTTTTCAAAAACGATCGTTATTGTCAATAAAAAATTTTTTTTCAAAAACGATCGTTTTTTCAAAAGCAATCGTTTTTAAAAAAAACAATCGTATAAAAAACTGTCACAAATCGTTTTTAATAAAACGATCGTTTTCAAAAAAGATCGTTTTTTCCCAAAAACGAAACGATCGTTTTTTAAAACAATTGAAAAACGAAACAAAAAACGATCGTTTAACGATCGTTTTCAAAAACGATTTATAACCCTACATGTGAGATCACACACAAACGTTGGGCCCGATCGGTTCAGCCGTTTTGACGTTTATTGGCCGGATAAAAGGAAAAGAACAAATACACAGACAGACACCCAGACAAGCAAAGTAACAACACATACATGATTGTTTAGATTTTCCTGTGTTTATGACTCAGCAACACTTGTTCTCAAATAAAAATGTTTTTGAAAAAGAAATTGTATTTTTCATACAAATATGATGCGTAACAAAATCACAAATTTCTCCCTACGTAACGCAGACAGTATGGATAATGAACAAATTCTTAACTTTCTCAAATATTTCGTTCTATCATTCTGAACTTCTAGCAATTTATTGAGATAATAAATTAGAGATTTTTCCTGAATTTTCTGTTTTTAGTTTTACTCAGCTATAAATATATATATATATATATAAGCAATTTATTGAGATAATAAATTAGAGATTTTTCCTGAATTTTCTGTTTTTACACTAAACTTGGTTATCATTTTTTATGAAATAAAGACATTTTTCATGATTTTAGAATGATGAAAGAACATGGATTACTTAGAAACTTGATGTCACAACCCCTTTCAGTTTTCTTTGATGCTTTCAGAACAGAAGTAATTTAAATTATTTTAAATAATTTCAATTATTGTATTTAAATTAATTATAAGTGTAATCAAAGATGAAAAAATAATTTATTTATAACCATAATAATAACATTAATACTTCAAAGGACTATAATAATAATAATAATAATACCAAGAACTATAATGATAGTAATACCAAGGACTGTAATATTAATACCAAGAACTATAATAATAATAATACCAAGGACTGTAATATTAATACCAAGAACTATAATAATAATAATACCAAGGACTGTATTATTAATACCAAGAACTATAATGATAATAATACCAAGGACTTTAATATTAATACCAAGAACTATAATAATAATAATACTAAGGACTGTAATATTAATACCAAGAACTATAATAATAATAATACCAAGGACTGTAATATTGATACCAAGATCTATAATAATAATAATACCAAGGACTGTATTATTAATACCGAGAACTATAATAATAATAATACCAAGGACTGTAATAATAATACCAAGAACTATAATAATAGTAATACCAAGGACTGTAATATTAATATAATACCAAGAACTATAATGATAATAATACCAAGGACTGTAATAATAATACCAAGAACTATAATAATAGTAATACCAAGGACTTTAATATTAATACTATCAAAAACTATAATAATAAAGACACATCAAAGGACTATGATAATGGTGGAGAGGAATATCTAACCTTCTCTGGGTGTAGATCGAACTTAGGAGGAGGGATGGATTTCAAGGTACACGATTAAACAACAGAATTCAACAAAATATTGAAGTTTTTACCAACATGCATCAAAGTATCCTTGAAGCATAATCTAAAACTAATGACTTTGAAATGGATTTTTTAGATTTTGACAACTGAACTATATCGTTCATTTTTGTAATTTTTTGGACTGCAAGAAGGTAAAAACTGCAAGAACCTTTTTAGTGTTTTACAAACAATTTTTTTAAATGTTCTGGGTGAAATATAAACAAACTGAGAGCTTCAATCTTCAAAGTCTAAGATTTGTTTATTTGTACAGTTGTACAGTATGTACGTGCAGAAAAAATAGACAGAACATGACTGTACACATAATGAATCATTTGCTTCTAGGGAGTTTAATGTTGATGTGGTTCTAGTCTTTTTCCCCTTAAAATGTCCTTTATTTTCAAATAAAATCCTAACATTTTTTACTGTTTACTGTACCACTGGACGTGTCTGTACATGTTTATTTAAGTCTGGTGTATTTACTGTACCACTGGACGGAGCGTACATGTTTACTATCCATATATGTACTCATGATATGAAGAAAGGGCTTCTCTCTCTCAGGTATTATTGAAATTAAAATCAGTCATTTAAAAAATACGTTTGTTTCTTATTTAAGATTTAATAAAGGGTTTTCTTGGACACTTTACGTCCAGGGTTGCCCACACAAGAAAATACTTTAATGATGAATTGATAAAAAGGTGTGGTATTCTGCTTTAATTTTTATTTTAAATAATATAAAAATTATTTAGCAATTGGGAAGAAGCAAGTTTAAACTTGAATGAAAAAACAAAACGTTGAAAAAAATCACGTCCTTTGTGAATTGTGGGTAACCCTGTAGTTGTTAAAAATGTTCTTATATTGAAAATCCAATTAACTAGCAGCTCTGGACTCTTATTCCTAGCTTTTTCTGAGAAACCCTGCTCAATTCTGTAAGTCTGACCAGCTGAGACACCCTGTACAAATTTTGTAAGTCTAGCTGTCCAATGACTAGCTGCAGAGACACCCTGTACAATTTTGTAAGTCTGACCAGTGAACAGCTTTCAACCCACATTTGTAAATTCAAGTTCATTTAAGATATTCAAAAAATAATCTAAATTTTTTTCAAGATGTAATGGTAATGAGCTTGCAAGTTTCTATGATCAAAACCATGATTCGAATCATAAGGTACCTAGGCTTTCATTTGTTCTCTTCAAATATTTCTCTACGCGGTCAAATAAACGTCCTACAAAGTACATCATTTGATGTAATTATTATACATTCAAATTAACCTTTTTCGGTATTTACATTTTTTAATATTTGATCAGTTAAACATTTTATTAAATTATTTACGATTTTAGTTGAATAATGCAACTAAATGAGTCTAACAATGGGCTCTGCGCCCCTGGGTATAAAGCGTGTTCAACCATTTTCAATGTTCAAAGTTCAATGTTCAATGTTCAATGTTCAATGTTCAATGTTCAATGTTAAAAATTCAATGTTCAATGTTCAATGTTCAATGTTCATTGTTCAATGTTCAATGTTCAATGTTCAATGTTCAATGTTCAATGTACACGAAACAGATAAAAGTAAAATTAGTGGCCATCTAATCCTAATTTGATTAGGATTCAGCCTAACCCCCCTTTCAATTATCACAAACATTCCCTTTAACAACATATGATGATTGGTGATATTACATATTATAACTAACCTAACTTTGGAACAAATTTGAATATTGAATTATAAAGTTTCGTCAATATTAAACATATTAGACGACCCCTAATGGTCGGTTTCAAGGGCGAGCACATGTTTCAGAACCAAACTGTTACAGTGATAACCAGAAAACTTTGTAATAAGATGACGACTTTTAGAGTCAAGTTTTAACTATTAATAGGTCATTGAGCATGAGACACAGCTACGGTGCATTGTAAACAGGCCAATTTAACTTAATTAGTGATTTAATTCTTTTAAAACTATTTGCTTTGTAACAACTTCAAATACACTTGGTATAAAGTCGTCTTTCTATTCCAGAGTATTCTGGTTATCACGTAGATATTAATGTTTAACTCTTGGTAACAAAACTGCAATGTAACTGACTTTTTATTTCTTAAAGGGACTGTAAAGGAAAAATGAAAGGGGGTATAGGCTGAAAGCTAATCACTTTAGCTCTCTATCGCGACCCATGAAAGTGATATCTGATGTTTCTATCTCGCGAAATTGATATAAAACTTTGTCAAATTTATACGAAAATTAATTTATATACAATTTTGAATAAAAGTAGTAGGTTTAAAAAGATCAAATTCAGCAAATAAGCAACCAATCTGAAAACGACGATATCCTAGAGAAAGGTAATTGTAAATTAGGTTTACTTTTATATTTGTTATTTCTATTTTTAATAGATTTCATTCCTAATACTATTTATACGTCCGTATTACTTGACCAGAAATTCCACCAATGGTAGTGCAGTAAAGTGGTCACGTGATACAGGCGGAGACACATGATCAGTATACTGCTCTCCCATTGGTGATAGTTCTGGTCACGTGATTTAAGTTTAAGATTTTCTAAATTTTATATATATGAACTTTCGTATAATTTTAACACAGTTTTATATCAATTTCTCGAGATAGATACATCAGATATAACTTTCATGGGTCGCGATCAAGAGCTAAAGTGATTAGCTTTCAGCCTATACCCCCTTTCATTTTTCCTTTACAGTCCCTATAAAGGGAGTGACTGGCAATGTATGGTGGTTGAGCTGAATGTGTAGTAGTGTGGACAAATTTTTTAGGATTCATTTGAGATGTTTCTACGACGTATATTTACTGAGTTTGAGCGCAAAGTCGACTTTTAAAATCATAAATTTTGGTTTTCAGAATCGGTTTTTTGAATTATTAGATAACGACGACAAAAAATGTAAGCAAAATTCTACAGTTAACTAATTAGTTGTTTAGGAACAGGTTGAGCAAATATATATTAACTATTATCATTGAAAATAAGTCATCTTATTCAATTATTTGTTTCTATAATCTCTCATTATTCACTAAGATTTTCTGCAGATTTTCAGGAATTTTATTGAAAAGACGACATTTAAAGAATTTGAAATCTGCGAACAAAGTCATAGAAAATAAAAAATTCAATAAAATGATGAAAACAAAATAATTGATTCTAACCTTGATTAATTGACAAATTTCTTATAAGAAATATGTTCCTAAACATTTAATTTTTTTACTTTTTTACTATATTTTTTTCGTCGTTATTTGATAATTAAAAAAACAGATTCTGAAAACATTCCCATCCAAATTTATGATTTTGAACGTCTACTTTGCACTCAAACTTAGTAATTATACATCGTTAAACGATATATATGTCTCAAATGAATCCTAAACATATTTTCTACAATACTGCATGTTCAGTTTAACCACCATACATTGCCGGTCACTCCCTTTAAAGAGCAGTTACGAATTTCAAGTCAGCAGTAAATTGTATATTGTAGAATTCGATGGCGAGTCAGAGCATTGTAGCAGACTTAGAAAAAGGAGATCGTGTACAGATATACATGTACACACATACAGGTACAAATATATTATATACATGTACAGATATACATGTGAACACATACAGGTACATAGATATATACATGTACACACATACAGTTACATAAATACATGTATGGTACATATACTAATACAGATATATACATGTACACACATACAGTCACATATATACATGTAAAAACTTGCAGGTACATATATACCTGTACATATGTACTGTTGTACAGTATACACAGTACACACACACATAAATGAACATATATTCATGTACAAACACACACATACAGATATACATGTACAGAATAAAAACGGGTGCAGATATTTATGAAGAGTACACTGTATACACATACAGGTACAGACATACAGGTAAAGATATACATGTACAGTGTACACACATGTACAGGATATACATTTATAGTACACATACATACAGGTACAGATATAAAAGTATAGTACACATACAAGTACAAATATACATGTACAGTGTACATTGTACACTCAATTACATGCGGGTACATACAAAATATAAACTAATTTATATTCCCAAATTAAGGTTTGATGGACAAGAAATCCAACTTGTTTACACATTTTGTTGGTATATTCCTGCGCCCCAAAAACTTCATGGTTGAACCGGAAACGGAAATGGAAATAACTAACGGACACTAGAATCTAGAAATAAATGTTTTTGAATCAATTTTCGAAAATGTAAATGTAAGGAAAGGTTTATATATTTGAATGTTTCTATTTGTTTTTATTAAATAAATTTTATCTTGATGTACAGGGTTACCCGCAAAGGCTGAGACTGTGAAGACGACCTGAAACCTCTGAAATATTAAGATTCTGGGGATAAATTAATTTTTCTGCTTTAAATTTAGTTTTTAATAAATTATTTAATGATTTGACAGAAAAGAAACAAGTTTATAGTTTAAAAGGAAACGGATAGATTGAATTCCCTTCAATCGTCTCTGAAGTCTCATCCTTTATGGGTTACCCTGTAACCTGTACATTGACATAATTAAGATTTTACAAAAATTTAGTTTTGTTATATAATATAATTATAAAAACTAGAATTTGCCACGCGCCTTAGAAGGACATCAGTAAGCGTAATCTCAGTGCCAAGATGGAAATGCAGGATTCACAACGATATCCTCCAAACATTTATCTGATCAATAATTTGGAAGATATATTCGCTTTTTCTACTTTTTAAAGTGTTTAATTTTGAAAATTGTGTCCATCAGTAAAAATGCGCAAATCAATATTGCAGAAAAATCACAACTGAAATTATCAGTTTTCAAAATTATAAACATTGTTCATACTTGATTCGATCAGACAAAGCTTTTAGGGGTCTCGTTGTAAATCGGAAACTGTCATAATTTCATGGAGGTCACGGGATACTTGAAATTACACTTACAGTCACTGCGGTAAAATGCTAGATTTAAATAACATCAAATACACGTAAGATTGATCCTATGTCGTCTTCCCATTTAACAGTTTTTGGGTTTCGCTGAACTTTAACTTGAACAAACAAAAGATAGCTGTTTAGCTAAATTTCAGCAAAAATATTATACATAACCTTATACATCTTCTAGTTTTATACTTATTTTTTAGCTTTTTAAAATATCGAGAAAAAAATCTAGCCTTTTTCCTAAAAAGATTTAATTAATAGCAATACAAGAATATCAAGTTTAGCTGTAAAATCTCTGCACAGGAAAGGCTTTTGCAAAATATAAATTGAAATAAAAAATAATTCGTTTTCATTGTATTGATATATACGACAGCAACTATAGTATCCTCTTTGTTAAAACATTATTAGTGATAATAAATGTATTTATTCATCATATTCATGTGGTAAAGGTATCTATGGAGGGGGTAAGGATGGTTAAAGAAGGGGTGGGGGAA